CCCCAATTTTTATTATTTTTTTCATTTCTTCTTGACATAAGAACGAACCGTGAATCATTTCATTTCTTCCTGGAAACTAATCAGGGAACATTATTTAAAAATCTCAATGTCAATGTGTTGTAGCTCATCAAAACGAAGGATTTGGATCCAAGTCACAACTACATATTTGGGTTTCACCCCCACGGAGTGCTTGTGGCTGGAGCCTTCGGAAATTTTTGTACAAATTACTCGGACTTCAAGAAGCTGTTTCCCGGCTTTACCGCGTATCTCCATGTGCTTCCAATTTGGTTCCGGTGCCCTCTCTTCCGAGAATATCTGATGAGCAGTGGTAAGTGAAGGCAAATTGCTGTTTCTGCCATGTTCTAGGGAGACAGGCCCCCTCAAACCCAGGCGGGGTTAACATTTCTTAGGGTCTTTATTCCCAGCTGGCACTTTGGATGCTTTTTGGATGTTTCTTGCCTCCCCCGCTGCACTGTAAGTGGCAGGAAGACACAGGCCGTCCTTTATTCTGTTCTACACAAGGATCTAGAATGCTGCCTGGAGTGTAAGGATGTTCAATAGATGCAAATGAATGAAAGAAGAAATTGATGAGTGTGTTTTGTGTATCCAGATGTGGTAGAGAGAACCAAACAAATGATACATGGCACCTTTGGAAAGGAGCCTGGTGTACTTTTGTGAATATTAGAGATGAAAAATGCCCTCCGACGTGTCTTGAAGTGATGGCAGTGTATAAACTAAACAGAACCTGCTATCTTTTGCTTCCCGCATGAAATACTACGGGTCAGAAATAAGAGTTCATTCTACTTTGCGACTCTGAACTAGTGGAAGACTCTTTGACTAGTGAAGTTGTAATTTTACCAGTTCTGAGGATCAGTCCAGCTGAAATGCCCTAGAGATATGACATGAATGTGTGTAGAGGCTTAGTTTGTGTCGATAAATCTTGCTTCAACTTAAGAGGCTCAATTTGTTTGCTTTTTCAGTTTGACCAAATTATTGGCTAACCATGAACTACAGTCACTGAGAAAGTGCTTTATGTTTGTGATCATTCTCTAGGTTAGTTATTACTGTCTTTGCTTTTCTTAAATATAAGGGAAAGTGGATAGTCTGTTTTTTGAAAAATTCCATTTTCAGGATCAGTAAGGGGCATATTCAGAGGTAGCATTTTCCACGGTCTTCCAGGTTTTCATTCCTTCCTATTAATCTGTCAAGTCTCCGTTGTCATTACTACCCGGTAGGAAATCACTAAGCACTGAAGGACCAGGGCCTGCGGCTGGATTTGTAGGTTGTTTGCGGGCCCCCTCCCGTGTGGCCCTGGGCTTGCTGTGCAGTCTCGGCTGCCACTGCATGTGGCCTCTAGGGGGTGCACTAAACCCCCAACTACTGTAGAGGAAAAACATCCCTTTTTCTTGTTTTGTAGGCATTGGGTTACAGGTGTTTTTTTTCTTCTTTTTTATTGAACTTATTGGGGTGACATTGGTTAATAAAATTATATAGGTTTCATGTGTACAGTTATGTAACACAGCATCTGTATATTGTATTGTGTGGTCACTACCCCAAGTCAAGTCTCCTATCACCACTTTTCCGCCCTTTGCCTTCCTTTACCTCCCCCCCCTGGTAGTCACCATCCTGTTGTATGTGCCTATGAGTGTTTTTTTGCGTGTGTGGGGTGGGGGTTGTTTAATCCCTTCACCTTTTTCACCCAGGCCTGTACCCACTTCCCACCTTTCAGCCTGTTCTCTATATGAGCCTGTTTCTATTCTGTTTGTTCATTTCCCTTTGGGACAGCATGGATGGACCTGGAGAGCATTATGCTAAGTGAAATAGCCAGTCAGAGAAAGACACATCCCCCATGATCTCACTTACATGTGGAATCTAATGAACAAAATAAACTAACAAACAAAATAGAAACAGACTCATAGATCACCCCAATCAATTCAATAACAATTTTCATAAAAAGAACAAAAAAATTTTTTTAATCCAAATCTATAGCCAGTGGAGGTTCAGGCTATTCTTGTCTCTAAGTGTAGAGAGTTCTCAGTCCCTCCCAGAACCTGCTTCCCAGGACAGGCCCTGGTCCGAGGCTGCCCACCTACTCTCTGCCTGTCTCAGTAGCTGCTGCTCTGGGTGTGAAAGACAGATGCGTGCACCAGACCTCATGTAGTAAAGAACCAGTAGGGTTTTAAATAGAGATCCTTTGCTGTCATGTCAGGTGGCTCCAAGTCCTTGTAAGTCCTGCCCCCAGACGCTTCCTCTCGGCTCATTTTGGGTACCGAGCAGGTGTCAGCCAGAGCACACTGTGTGCCTCAGGGCTCCTGCCCCCTCTGCCTCTCCATTAAGACTGGGCAGGTGGTGGCGATCAGATCACAGCAGGCTTCTACACCGTGCAGAGGGCTTTAGATTTTATCTTGTGGGTAAGCCACCGGAACTTATGAGGGACTTATGAGCAAAAGAGGTACCTGACTGGATTTTGCATGTTAGAAAGATCGTTCAGACAAGAGATACGCTGGAGGGAGGTGAGCCTGGAGACGGTGCTGATGGAAGGGGCCTGCTGCAGTGATCAGGGAGAGGTGAGGAGGGTTCATCTAGCACAGGGGCAGTGGCAATGGCAAAACAGATGAGGGGATTAATATGAAAAATAGTTGATAGGTTCAATAAGACTCAGTGATTGATTCAGCCTCAGGAAGGCAGCATTTGGTTATATCGTTGCCCTGTCGTCAGCATCTAGCATGTAGCAGGTGCTCAGCCAATGCTTTTGAATGAACGGTGGTGAGTCAGCATGGGGCTAAGCAGGGGGGATACACATGGGACGTGGCTTCTGACTTGAGTGACTGGACGGTCGATGGTTCCCTTCGCTGTGACAGGTCGTTGTTGGACAAGGAACAACTCTGATGAAGAATTTAATTCACCGGGTTTGGAAACCTGGAATTTGAGGCGCCCCTGAGCTGTCGAGGTAGACAGAGTGCTCCAACCAAACCTAAGTAGGGTAGGAAATCTTGTTAGATGTTCACCGATGCCATAGGACGTTTTGATGCAAATGTGTTAATTTTAAAAAAAAGGACCGTTCGGGACACCTCTTGTTTTATTCACCAAGGGCCGGTCTCGGTTTCCAAGAGAAGCGTGTCCCACGTGCTGAGCAAGGAGGGCGGCGGGAACATTTCAATCATCGTCCTGGGGGGTGCAGAGGAGTCGCTGGATGCCCACCCCGGGAAGTTCACTCTGTTCATCCGCCAGCGGAAAGGGTTTGTGAAGATCGCTTTGACCCACGGGTAAGTGGCTTTTCATTTGGGTGACCGGGCCTGGGAAGGTAAGACATGACTACATGAGCACACAGAAGTAAAGTCATGTTTGTAGCCCCTAAAGATTGCCCTAATCGCCCTTCGCGTAGAAGCAGGCGTGGGTGTTCGTGGGGAGTGGAGTAGGCCTTCCCACGAAGGAAGCTCAGCGCCAGGGCATCCAGAACTAAACTGTCCGTGAAAGCAAAGGAAACAAAAAGCACGTAAGATTTCCAGCCCAGTGAACCAGGAACCATGGCCAAAACTATAGGTGAACAATCTTCGTGGAACCTTGAATTTGCTGAACAATAAAATTCTACCAATCACTAGACTGCTCAAGTATCTGCCAAAGAATTTCAAGAATAAGCTAGTCTCAGGGTATGGAGCGTGAAGTTAGTAGTATAGGGGGGCTTGGGGACGTTAAAGAATGGTTAGAAATCTGCCAGGTCAATGGGGCAGAATAACGTCTTTCAGTCCTTTTCGGTGAAAATTCTTATTCTTTCCCTTTTTCTGCTATTTGCAGTGCCTATCTGGTCCCAGTGTTTTCTTTTGGTGAAAATGAACTATTTAAACAAGTCAGCAACCCTGAAGGCTCGTTGCTTCGAACCGTGCAGGATAAACTCCAGAAGATCATGGGGTTCGCGTTGCCCCTGTTCCACGCCAGGGGGGTTTTTCAGTACAATTTTGGCCTCGTGCCCTACAGGAAACCTATTCACACTGTCGGTATGTACATCGAAGACTAACCGCTTGTTAAGACAAGTAAGAGCTTTATCTTACTTTGAGCGTTGGTTGTTGTCGTTGACTGAGGTGCTAATCCAGGAGAGGCGGCTTTGAGTAAGAACTTAAAATAACAATTCTATAGATGTTATTGGAGCTTCAGGTCCAGTACGCCTGTTATTTATAAAATGACTGTATTTTGCATTTGAGTGGGAATTGATGACTTACAAGATTACTGCTCTTGAACTTCAGTGGAATCCAATTTTAGAAGTAAAATTTCCAGTCCTCTAGGATGAATTTATTTCTCTGTAGCAGCCGACTATAACAGCAATTCTTTGATGAAGGAGTTACATCAGAGTTATTAATATATGCAAACTTTTGTATAAGTCTTTATCATGTTCAGTTCTCGTAGGCATCAGTTTCTATATCAAATGCATTCTTTTTTTGCAACTTAGCTTTATGTATGTGTATCCTAATATAGACTGATTTTATTTATAATAGTTGCAAGTTAAGGGAAATAGAGGCAGGGGAGGAGGGTGATGGACCATGTTGATAAAATGACTGAGGAGGAAGGGAATTAGCTCCTTAGTTTAAAAAGGACATGGACAGTTGAAAATCAGAAAGAGCTGAATCAGGGGCTGATAGCAGAATTAACCAAAATTATATACTTCATAGGAAACTAGAAGTAATATTTTCATCATCGATAGCCCATTAAATGAAATGCAAATGTTCTTTTTAGGTCTGTTTCACCAGAATGGGATTTTATTACTGTTAGTTTATAAGAGCTTTACATTTCACATGCAGTCACATGACCTTTTAAATGCTATATTTAACTTAAATGGAATGTTAGAGGACGTCAGTCAGTTAGTGTAATAGAAATACTGAGATAAATTTGGGTCTGCAATTGTTTTTCAGGAGCTGGTTACATTTTTTGGCATATTATTAATTAGTCATTTTGATATTTTATGTGCAAAGTACGATAGTTGATATTGGGGGGGATATAAGGAAAATTGTAAGACATGCTTTTAGGAAATAAAAGTTTAATTAAGTGTAACACGTATGCACCGTGAAATTGGTTGTGCATGTTCAAAGCAAGTATATTTTTTCAGGTTAAATGATTATAGTTATCACCCGGTTGGGTTAAACATTTCTTAAATTTTATTTTTCTTTTCTTTTTTATTGAATTTATTGTGGTGACATTGGTTAATAAAATTATGTAGGTTTCAGGTGTACATTCTATAATACATCATCTGTATATTGTATTGTGTGTTCACCACCCCAAGTCAAGTCTCCTTCCATCACCATTTATTCTCCCTATAAACTTTTTTTTTTTAAAGTAAGTTTGTCATTCAGTACAGCCTGATTACACCTCTGCTGACAAGTAATTAATTGGTCAGAGGTCAAATGGAAATGGCCAAATTCAAATTCGTTGTAAAGACTAGAAAACTACATTCTGGCTTTCACTCATGCCTGTGTCCAACGTGCTTCTCTTAAAGATTCAGAAAAAGGAAAAATTCTTTCAGTCCATCTTTCTATTTAACTCGCAAACTATTACTTCAGGAAGGCCGTTTCTCATCTCTAGCATCTCAGTATCTGCTATTATTTGAAGTCTTTCGAAACCCAAGCTAAGAACATGAATGTTTCAGACTCAGCTGCCAGGATCTCGTGGTGGTCAAGTGGGAGTCAGATGACTGAGGGCGGCCTGATGGTGTGAACCAGACCCCAGATGATGCGTAAAGACTTGATTATTGACGTGAAATAACACAAGCTGAGGATAAGACATTTACAACTCCATAAACAAAAGCAAAGCTGTGTATCAGTCAGATGCAACAGAGGGTAAAAAACGGTACGATGTTGAAACAGTGATCTAAGTTACGACGGTCGTGTCTGTTTTAAATCAGTGTGCTTCAAACCCAGGGTTGCTGCTCTGCTGACCCCCTGACACCCCAGGCAGGACTTAGGCAGCATCCAGAGCAGGAGGTTATTTTACAGCCCTCTGCTTCCCTTTCTACTTAATTAAGAGGTTTGTTTGTTTGTTTTTAAAAAATTAAAATTTTTTTTCATTCAAAAAATTCAATGAAAAATTTTTTTCATTAATATTTGACATTCAATATTATATTAGTTTCAGGTGTACAGCATAGTGGTTAGACATTTATGTAACGTACAAAGTGACCGACTCCCCCCCAAGTCTAGTACTCACCTGGCACCTTGCACAGTTATTACAATATTATTAGCTATATTCCCTATGCTGTACTTTCATCCCTGTGATTATTTTGTAACTGCCAATTTGTACTTCTTAATCCCTTCACATTTTTCCTCCAGTCCCCTAAACTCCCTTCCCTCTGGCAACCATCAGTTTGTCTCTTTATATGTCCCCTACTCCCACCCTGAATAGTTAACTTGCACTTGACCTCTCTCCTTGGGATCATTTCACTAAGAAAACCGACGCTTTTCTATAAAACCAGGAATTTGCTAGTAGATTGACTTGTAGATTTCTCATGTTTTTCCTCAAACAACAACAAATTTCAGAGCTGACAGAAACCTTCAAAATCTTCCTAGTTGTGCTCTTATATCCTATAATTGTGAAAACGAAGTTGCCTATTAGCTCAGTGTGCTTGCTGGAGAGCTAGCACTAGACCTGGTCCAGCCTGGTGCTTTTTGTGCATCACCAGCTCCCACTTCGGCCCCATCACCACATTAGCCTCTGTGCATATTTCCAACCACAGCCAACCACAAGATGGTTATGTTTCTAGTTCTTTGTGTTGAATTACGAAGGACCGATGTCTACTGTATAGAAATTCGACATCCAGACTATCAAAGAAAAATGTACATGAGCTTCTTGAGGCCAAAGTTAGCAATCTGAGACCATTAATGTTACAGTAAGGATAAGGAGATATATATATATCTTGGTTCTCGCTTAACTAACCACTTTCTGCTACTGACATGGACTGAAGCCCTGGGTGTAGCACGTGGCAACTCAGGATAGGCCAAAGGCAATATCCTCTCTCTGAGTTCTGTTCTCTTACCTACAGCCCCTCTTGACCTCATCATGCCCAAGCTAATCAAAGGTAATAAGCAGCTTGCTGCCCGCTGGTCATTGGTCATCCTGTACGTTTTAAACTCTTGGCGTCAGTAGCAGCATCAGACCAGCAGAGGGCGCAGGGAGCAAGGACCCAGGAGAGCAAAAGCCCTGTGTACCTGTCTATATAACGCTCTAAAGCCCTAGGCAAGTGAGAGAAAAGTTGTTTCTGACATAAATGCCCTTTAAAATATGTATAGAAGTTGCCAGGCTTTTAAAACTTGATTCGTTTGTCTTTAAATATATAGGTAAAACACAAATGTCTTCTCATTGTAGAAAATTTACACAATACAGATAAAGTGAAAGTTTCTTCATCTCTCCTTCCTGGCTTGAGGAGTGGTTATCAGTCTCTCTTCCAAGACTTTAAAAATACACAAAAAGCTTATAATGCGCCTAGAAATATAATTTTTTTCATAAATGGGATCATATGATTTTTTTTTTTTACAACTTTTCCCCCACTTTATACATTTTAGGCATCTCTGTGTGTGTCCATACATATATATTATTTCATTTTTTTAATTGAAGTATAATTGACATTTTATTAGCTTCAGGGGTACAATGTAATGCTTTGATATTTGTAGGTACTGCAAAATGATCACCACAATAAACCTAGTTAACATTCATCACCATGCATAGTTACAAAAATATCATTTTATTTAAAAAAAATTGCTGCCTAGGATTCCATTGAAGGAATGCTCTATGGTTTATTTAATACTTTTTTCTATTGAGCCTTTTGGTTGATTTTGTCTGCCACTTACAAACAGGGGGATCCCTGTGATTACGTACGTTTTCTAGTACCGATATTTAACTACAAAGATACAGGTTCTCTGAATTTTTTTCTGATGACATTAAAAAGAGTCAGAGGAAGGGGCTGATGCCTCATGATTCGAGATTTCACAGGCAGCCACAGTAGGGGACTGTGGTCCGGCTGTCAGCTGTACCCGAGGAGGAATGCTGGTGACACAGGCACACAGCTGTGGCCTCTTCCCTCACAGCTGCAGGCGGCACAGTGGCTCACTTGACTCGGCGTCTCAACCACCAGGGTACTGCCAATCCAGTGTCTGCGGGGAAGGAAAGTTCTTTATTTATTGTCAGACGGGATGGGGTGACCACTGTCCACAGCCAGGGGAATGAGAGAGGGCTTGGAGCTCGCAGGGCTGGCGGGCTCTGATTGGAAAATCTTCCCAGGGCTGCCCCCTGAGGCAGTGGGTCTGCGCAGAGGGCTTTGGGTTTCTTACGTCTGGTGTATTCTCTGTTTTGTGCAGTTGGCCACCCAATCCCTGTTCATCAGACTCTGCACCCAACCCCGGAGCAGATAGAGGAGCTGCATCAGACCTACATGGAGGAGCTAAGGAAACTATTCGAGGAGCACAAAGGGAAGTATGGCATCCCAGAGCAAGACACCCTGGTTTTCAAATAACTGCACTCCTGGAGGGCATACAGGAGGAGGAGAGAACATCCCACTGAGAGAATAAATCTGTTAAATCCGTTAGTTTTTTCCCTTGACTATGGAATTAAATTGGCAACTGAAAAGTATTACTTATAGTGACAGATGTTGGTGTAGAGCTGTGTTAAAGATACAGTGTGTGACCATAGGGTAAGGTTAGAGATGACTGTGAGTCAATATTCTTCCTCATTTAGGAAGAATATTAAAAAAATTATTTTACAGGTTCAGAACGACAGCTTCAAAAATTAATTAGACCCTTTGGCTCAGCATTACAGCAATATAAGGCGGCGTTTTCATTAAGTGTGTTAGCTGTTATTCGGCGCAGCTGCAGCATTTAGGAGACGGTGTGTAAAATAATTGGCCATACAGAGCTAGAAGAGATCGTTTCCTTTTCTTCACTTGAACAGACCATTTGTTAGTGGATAATGTTATGTCAACACATTTTTATACAATGGGGCAGAATTTTTATGCAGTTTTCAGAATAGGATGAATCTACCATATGGAAACCCATGTGGGTGAGAGCATGTCCCCTCATTTCTATCCATGCTTAGAAATGTTCATCATTGTCATCTGCTTAGAAATATGTTCATTTGCTACAGAAAAGGAAAGACATACTTTTGCACATGTTTTAGGACACTGAAGTTGCATGAAGTTTTCGTGGTAATAGAAATGGTTTAATTTTCTTTCCAAATAGCCTCTCTGAATGAGACGAGCTGTGGAAGAAAGCACACTCTCTGGTGAGATGTGTCCAGTTCTCAGTTGACCCGAGTTATGTGCATCTCCTCTCAACCAGAATGCCTGGTCTGTGAGAACAGGAACTTGTCCCTTCTGTGCACTGATGTCTCCCTATGCCTGGGTCAGCTCATGGCACTTAGTAGGCACAAAATAAGTGAATGTATTTTTAATAAGTGAATTCATGTTTAATGAATGTATTTATAGATGAACACGAAGGCAAACTTTGCCATAAGGTGAGGAATTTTTAAAGCTCTACCGTAGGATGAAACCTATAATAAGACAAGACCCATTTTCAGAAGGAGATTATTGGCTGTGTCTGATTGTCCCATGCCAGTGACTGACAGCGCTGCAGGCTGGCTTGTAAGGAGCAAGTCAGAAGGAGGTTTCTGACGATTAGTCACTGAGTGTTAACTAATTATTCAGTAAATAAGTAAGAAGAATGTCCAGTTTCCAAACATCTCCATTGCTAGATGTTGCTTCTGTACTTCCTCCACTCCAGGTATTTGAGGGTGACTTCACTGCGTTGTCCCAGCTCATTGGTAAGATGTCTCCAGGCCTCTGATTCGTAAAACATTAAGCCCTGGGCTAGAGCCTGGATTGGGTCCAGCAACAGCAGAATGAAATCATGCTGGGTGACGCCCTGAGTGGGGAAGCGTTTCACATATGACAAAGTGAACCTTCTCAATTGTTCCTCATAAGGTTTCATGGCCAACGTCCTGTTATCTTCACACTGAGCAATCCCGGAGCCCACCAACCATGGTCTTGAAATTAGATCCAAAAAATATATATTTTTTTGGTGAAAGCAGGGAATAAGACACACTTGCTTTGCTAGATGGAGAAAACTCGACTATGCATCCTTTTTGGTATTACTCAATACCTCAAAAATGTAAAAGGAGCACCATTTACATAAAATTACACTCTGGCTGGTCAGGGTTCAGTCTTTCAGAATATAACTCTGAGGCCCAAATTACCACAATCAAAGGCCTCTAAGTTAATATAAAACACAGGAATTTCCTCCCTTTGGAGAAGTTTATTAAAAGCTCATAGTCTTTTGTGATTTCACAAAGGTATGAATTTTAATCTCACACCTGGGAGTGAGAGGGCCAACCTGACCACCTAACATCAGCTGGATTGTCTAGTAAGCAGTTAGTAACACAGAGGCATTGAGAAATGAGAAAAGTTCTGCTCTGATGAATTTATCTAGAATTTTTCCGTTAAAAAAATCTAGACATCGGCCACTTTAATTTTGGCATACCTGAAACCCTATTGTTAGGTACCTAGTAGGGAGTTTATCTCTTCCTTTCTTAGGGTCTCCAGAGGTCTTAATCCTGCCAGGCCAGACGTCCTTTCTTAAGCTCAAAGCACAGTCGTAAATTCTATATAGCCCTACAAATTGCAAATGAATTTTTTGATGTGAATTTTTGCTGCAACGCAAATGTGGGTCATCAGTTGTATTCACTCACGTGGTCTGATGGAGATCTCTACCTTCAAGCTTCTCCTCGACTACACATTTGCACCTCAGTTTTAAGCAGCATAGCAAAACAATAACAGCGACAGTAACCCCAGGACGCTGGAAGAGAAACTGGGATCACTGCCTTGAGAAAATGTGCGGTCATGCTGTTTGGTTTGGACAGTTCTGTTTCCTGTTCCCCTCGCACACTGGGGGCAGGCTGTCATTTCCTCTGTCTGGCGGCCAGAAGTATTGAGATGGCCTGTGTCCGGCTAAACCCACGACTGTCCCATAGAAGGCCGCAGCCTCGGTGCCATGAAGGCCACCCAGCTTTGCTCTGCCCCAGAGAATACCTTGATTTATGTAAACCTTCACCACGACTATGAGAACGTTCAAAGTGCACATACTTCAGGGAAGACGGACGAGCCTTGGCAGAGGGTTGAAAGTACACCCCCCGCTGTTGGTAGAAGGTCCATTTCTGTGTGGGAAGCGCAGGAGGCGGAATCCGGGGAGACGCTCCCACTTCTGTGTAATGTGACGCCTGCTCCACGCTACCTCGGTGATGCCAGCTGCCAAAGTCTGCGATAAATGTGTGAACAGATTGGCTTCATTCACTCTGTGCCCTCTTCCTCTGGCCAGAGACAATGCGGATGGGATTTGCTGATTGGATTTTCCCCCCAATAGCCCGGGATTGCAAGTTCTCATCTATCTCATGTATTTTTTTCTACTAAGTGATAAAATGTCTATTTGTGGTGCTTGGGAGGGTTCCTGCAGGTAAAATTTGTATATTGATTTTTTAAATTAAATTTTTTTGGGGGTGACACTGGTTAATATGTGTATCTTTTTAAAGAAGAACAAAGCGAATTCCAAATAACCAGCCAGTTGCTCCACTATCTCTGGGAAACAGACCTTTATGTGAACACCCAAGGAGTTCTCTAATACCTTGTATTTTGATGTTTGAAGTCAACCCTCCCCAAACACCGTCAGCGTAGCGCCTTTGTATCGTAAATGAAAGGGAGAAAGTGTACCCCAACCGTAGTCAGCCCCTGGGACAAGTGCCTCCATAGCAGAGTCTGCCTGGTGTGATGTTGATCTGGACTCCCGAGCAGCCTCTCCACGGACGCCTGGGCACTAGCCTGGCACTTGGATGGGTCGTGTCACAGAGGCCAAGTGTTAGAGCCAGAAGGGACCTCCTAGCCTGTCTAGTGATCACCTCTACAGACCCCAGTGAAGCTGAATGCAGAGTGCAACCGGCTCCGTGTTCGTGTCCCTCTGCTCTAGACAGAGCTGGAGGCGCCGCTATTCCATGATTGTTGGTTAATGCACGCAGGAATCCCCCTCTCAAACAGACATGTCAAAAAGCAGAAAATGATTAAAAATACACCTAAAGGCCCAGCCGGGTGTGGCTCAGTGGTTGAGCATTGACCTAGGATCCAGGAGATCGCGGTTTGATTCTCGGTCAGGGCACATGCCCGGGTTTTGGGCTCCATCCCAGTGGGGGGTGTGGGAGGCAGCCGATCNCCGGGTGTGGCTCAGCGGTTGAGCGTCAACCTAGGATCCAGGCGATCAGGGTTCGATTCCCGGTCAGGGCACATGCCCGGCTTGTGGGCTTGATCAATGACTCTCTCATCATTGATGTTTCTGTCTCTCTCTCCCTCTCCCTTCCTCTCTCTGAAATCAATAAAGATATATTTAAAAAAAAAAGTTTCAAGTTAANCCTTCCTCTCTCTGAAATCAATAAAGATATATTTAAAAAAAAAAAAGTTTCAAGTTAAAAACAAAAACACACCTAAAGCAAGAGATTGAATGACTCCCAAGCAGGCCCTGCCTTACCGGTCCTGAGAACACTGCTCTTTTTTGAACACCAGTGCAGCGCATCTGTTGATGTTTCCCTTTGGCAAGAGCTATTCTGGTGATGTGTCCTGGGCCGAGTCCCAGTTTTCAACCACAGGCTCAGCCACCAGAGCCTCTTGCGTTGGAGCAGCAGGAGAAGGCGAGCGCCTGTGCTGGGGGTGGCGACAGACCCGCCAAGGGTCTTCCTTCTCAGTCCTGTCGTGGTCATCGACACAGGACGGAGCAGCCTCATTGTTCAGACAGAGGTGGGCGTAGAGTTTCGGTCACCACGTGACAGCCCCAAGCCCCGAGTCCGTGCTGGCTCCGGTCTCATCCAGCTGCGCTTATTTATCTATTTATTTATTTGGATAGCTCTTAGATTCTGGTTGAGAATGAGCTTAGGCTCTCTGGAGACTGAAGATAAATCTGACTTTCCTTGTATTCCCAGGGCTGCGTAACTCTCCCAACGCTACTCTCAGGCCAACTTGGAGCCTCGGACTTTCTGGTTGGACTCTGAGGCCTCTGGTGTGGGGGCGCAGTCGTGTCAAGCAGCCAGAGAATCTAACTGTCCCATTTTTCTGTTCTCAGGCTTCTGTCTCAAATGGTCCTTTAGCCTCTGGCCCTCCACTCACTGTCTGGGTCACCGGGGCCCAGTTCCTTCCTGTGCAAGTTAGTGAGCGATCGAGGTCCCTTCTGGTTCTATCCCTGTGGTCTCTGCTGACTTTCTTTCTGTCATTGTCATGACACCGAGTTAGAGACGTAGGTTTATCTGGATGGTTTGTTTCCTCTCCTGCAAGAATGCAGCGAGTCCAAGTGAATGCCTCACTCTCTTGGTGTATCTAAAACTTCAATGGCTACTGAAATTTCTCCAGCGTCACAGTGACCTTTAGTCCCGGTGTTTCTAAAACAGAATTTAATTTTCTAAATAAAAAGAGGAGAAATTGACCTATAAGGATTCCTCCTTAATGTGGTTCAAAACTCTGAAGTAATAGCTTATTACTTGTCAAAATCTTTATAGGAGGTGGTGAATTTTTATATTTTCTATATTTTTATGTGCTGCTGTGTGCTTTTTACAAGCTCTTAGTTTGTAAAGTTTTGACCAATAAATGTGTTTTATGCCTGAGTTATAAGCATGTGGGTGTGGTGTTTAACCCTGAGGGAATGGTTTACACACCTCGGCAAGACAGTTAACTTGGTCTTGGGGATGAATGTTATCAAGGGAACCACACTGAAATTGTGAGCGTTACAAATTCAGTCTTCTAATTATTTTGATGGGATAAAGGACAGTACAGAAGACAGGCAGGGGTGACTGAAAACTGCAGGTGTGTAGGGTGAGGCCAGAAGAGGGCACAGCAGAAAGAAGACAAGCCCTGAAACTGCTGTGGCCTCACGAGGCTGGAAGAAGAGGGAAACCCCTCAGAATCCGAAATCTTCAAAAACTGGTAGAGCCATGGTAGATTATGGATTCGATGAATCACTGCCAGTGGATTCGGGGTGCTTTTTTAGGGGGTGATGAAAATGTTCTAAATTAGATTGGAGTGATGGGTACACAACTCCGAATACACTAAAAATCTCCAAACTCTGCACTTCAAATGAATGAATTTTGTGGTGTGTGAAATACACCTCAGTAAATCTGTTTTATAAAGTCGAGTCGGTCATACACTTGCTAAAACAATGGAAGCAGCTAGACCTCAATTCCTCTTTAAAATGTGTCGAAAATGAAGTTGCCTTCCTTCGATGCCCAGCACTTTATACAATAAAGCTTAGCCCTTGATTTTGAGAACTGTTGGTGTTGCTGGTGTTTTTAATACTCTTTTTGAGTATTTTATTGGGTAAAGAATGTGCTGTTTTATTTTTGTGTAAAATGCTGTTTGACTTTAATTTCCCCCAGTATTTTATTACTACTGTAGCATACACTAAGTAAATGTTATCACATAAAAACACACTCAATATTTATTGACCAGCTGTAATGTACCAGACACAGGGCTAAATACTTTATGTATATTGTGACATTTAGCTCTTAAATTAGGCCCATGAGGTTGGTACTATTTTTATCCCATGGGAGACTGGGCCCCAGAGGGGCTAAGCACTGTGCCCAGGCAACTCTGAGGGTGGGTGGTGCCAGGGTCCTCTGGCCAGAGCCCACGCTCTCAGTATAGGACCCAGGAGCACTGGGGTCCCTGCCATCTCTGTCACTAACTTGCTGTGTGACTCTAGGTAAGTGACCTTGTATTCTTCACCTATTAAATGAGAGAGTGGGATAAGATCTCTGGTTCTTTATGGGTCCACATCCTAGTGATTAATGATGAATTTGATTTATACTTTGAGTAATATGTAGTGGCTTGAACTTAATGCCATTGGTATTGCAGGGAAACAGGAGACACAACATAGTGACACTAGATGATGTTCCTTCAGGAGGAAACACACTTGGCTGTTGCAAACCAGGATACAAGCGACCCCGTGACTTAAAAGTGTGGCATCTCCACGGGGAAGGTGACCCTCTCGGCCAGGGCCACCTTGGTCAGACACCACCCACACGCCTCCCATTTCCTATATTCTTCCGTTAGTTCATTTTTTTCTCTCTCCATATTGGCTTCTGTTTTGTCCATAATCCATGAAAAAGACTCAAGTCAAGAGAAGGGGAAAGTCGAATTACACGAAGCAATTGAAAAGCTTGTTTCCTGTCAAAGGTAAAGTCAAGGACGATGGAAGGAGGGGAGAGCTGAGAAGGCGCCGAGGAGGAGGCGAGGCTGGAGCAAGGAAGGCGGCCCCTGCTGCGTTCCACCCCAGGCCATGGTCCCTGCCCCGAGGCCCTTCCTCTCAGGCTGTGACGGGCACAGCTGATGCTGTCCGAGTGAAAGCTGATCTCAGAGGTGGCGCCCACTTGAGGAAGGCCCATCTTGTTGGCCTTTCCCTGGTAATCGAAGGAGCGGTTCCTGCAGAGTCCTACGAGGCCACTATGGATAAGAGTGTTCCTGTTCCCAATCTCTGTCTAGACAGACATTTGACAATCTTATGGGAGCCCTGCCTGGTAGTGCCCCAGTAGCTAGGGCACCGGCCTGTGGACCGAATGGCTGAGGGTTCGATTCCCTGTCAAGAGCACGTACCTGGCTTGCAGGTTTGACCCCCAGCCGTGTGGGAGGCAGCCGATCAATGTGTCTCTCTCATATTCAGTGTCTTCTCTCTCTCTCTCCCTTCCTCTTTCCCCTTCCCTTCCTCTCTCTCTAAAAAAAAAAAAAGCAGTGGAAAAAAATATCCTTGCTTGAGGATTAACAAAAAAAATCTTATGGGAGACCCTGAAAGCCCCCTCCCGCATCCCCTGATACTCTGCCAAGTTGACAGGTGATATTAAGCAACTAGTCCAAAGATGGACTAGTCAAGTGAAAACGGAATAGTAAAGTTGGGTTTATTCAAATCAGCATGGGCAATGTGACCTTGAGAACCATAGATTTCCANGCAACTAGTCCAAGTCAAGTGAAAACGGAATAGTAAAGTTGGGTTTATTCAAATCAGCATGGGCAATGTGACCTTGAGAACCATGGATTTCCACTGTTACTCTTGAGAGTTCCGTGAACCAAACCAGCAGGATGACTGGGCTGCCGCTGCTGAGTTTCNTGAGAACCATAGATTTCCACTGTTACTCTTGAGAGTTCCGTGAACCAAACCAGCAGGATGACTGGGCTACTGCTGCTGAGTTTAGATGATGCTTAGATGACAGGGCTTCTGAAAACGGTGCACCCCAGTGGTTACCCGTGACCGGAGAAAACGCTCTTCACGAGGAACTGCTGCTCTTTGACCTCTCCCATGGCTCCGCACCCTTTCGGCCTGACTTGGTTGCAGATGTTATTCCCTTTCCACATCTCGATGGGCTTGGAAACTGCCCCAGGGCCCTTATTTCAAGGGAGCAGGTCCTCTTCCATCCTGCCTGGGATTTCTCTTTGCTCTGGCCGCTGGTTTTGGGGCCCAGGCATGCAGTGGCTTCAGGCTG